TAATTTCCTTTCTTCTGCTGGGTTTGGGGTTGGTCTTTTCTTCTTTTTCCAGTTCTTTGAGTTAATTCATTAGGTTGTCTGTTTGTGATCTTTTTGACTTTTGGATATAAGCATTTATGGAGATAAACTTTCCTCTTAGGACTGTTTTGGCTGTGTCCCACAGATTTTGGTAACTTGTGTCACCTTTGTCATTTAGTTCAAAGAATCTTTTGATTTCCAGTTTTATTTCGTCATTTATGAAGGAATCGTTCAGCAGGGAGTTGTTTAATTTCCAAGACTTTGTGTAGAGATGAGAGTTTCTGTTGGGGTTGATTTCTGTTTTTATTCCACTGTGATCTGAGAAGATGCATGGTATAATTTCTATTTTTTTAAAATTTTTTGAGGCATTCTTTGTGTCCTAGGATATGGTCAATCTTAGAGAATGTCCCATGAGCTGCTGACAAGAACGTATATTCTGTGGTGTTTTAGTAGAATATCCTGTAAATGTCAGTCAGGCCCATTTGTTCTAGGGTTCTGTTTAAGTCCATAATTTTTTTGTTAATTTTCTGTTTGGAGGATCTGTCCTGTGCTGTCAGTGGGGTGTTGAAATCTCTGACTATAATGGTGTTGCTGTTCATCACATTGTTTAGGTTAAGTAAAGTTTGCTTTATGAACCTGGGTGCATCTAGGTTGGGTGCATACATATTTAGAATTGTTATGTCTTCTTGTTGAACTGTGCCTTTCACCATTATATAGTGGTCCTCTTTGTCTTTCATTACTTTTGTTGATTTAAAAGCTAAGTTATCTGAGATCAAAAGTGCTACACCAGCCTTCTTTTGGCTTCCATTTGCTTGAAATATTGATTTCTACCCCTTTACCTTGAGTCTAAATGCATCCTTGCAGGTTAGATGTATTTCCTGAAGACAGCAGATATCTGGCTTCTATTTTTTTATCCATTTGGCCAGCCTATGTCTCTTGAGAGGTGAGTTCAAGCCATTCACATTTATTGAAAGAATTGATAAGTGGGGTAAATTGTTCATCAAATTGTTGAGTTACTTTTTGTTGCTTTGTTTTCGATCTTGAGCCATTGTGGATTCTAGCCTTTGATCTTTAGCTTTTGAGTGGTTTTACATTCGTGAGTGTTTATTGTGCTGGTCCTTGTGTAATTCAGCTTTGAGTACTTCTTGGAGAGCTGGTCGTCTCTTGGTGAATTCCCAGAGACTTTGTTTATCTGAGAATGTCTTTATTTCTCCTTCATATATAAAACTTAATTTTTCAGGGTACAGAACTCTAGGTTGGGCCTTATTCTCTTTCAGAAGAGTGAGAATGGGGCCCCAGGCTCTTCTTGCTTGTAGGGTTTCAGTTGAGAAGTCTGAAGTTATTCTGATGGGCTTTCCTTTGTATGTTACTTGTTTCTTTTGCCTGACAGCTCGTAGAAGGGCCTCCTTAGTTGATATTTTAGCCAATCTGATGACTGCATGACGTGGTGTCTTTCTGTTTGCATTGAATCTCCCTGGGGTCCGCTGTGCTTCTTGTATCTGTATATCTAGATTTTTAGCAAGACCTCGTAAATTCTCCTCTATTAAATCTTCATATAGGTTATCCAGCCCTTGCGTGGTTTCTTCTTCATTTTCCGGAACACCAATCACACTCAGGTTTGGTTTTTTCACATAATCCCACATTTCTGTAAACTTGTTTCTTTTTTCTGTATTTTCTGCTCAATATCTGTGACTGACTTATTTATCCCGAAGGAGCTGTCTTCAATCTCTGAGATTCTTTCTTCTGTTTGATCTACCCTGTTCTTTAGGCTTTCCACAGTGTTTTGAAGTTCCCTGAATATGTCTTTTATTTCTAGGAGTTCGGTTTGATTTTTCTTTAATATTTCAATTTCTTTAGTGAATTTTTCTTCCAAATCCTGGATTTTTTCTGTGGTTTCCTTGTGATGGTTATCCATTTTTCCTTGAATATCATTGAGCTTACTTACAATCCACGTTTGGAATTCTTCTTCTGTCATTTTTGTATTCTGGACCTGGTTAGTGTTCATTGCTAGAGAGCTGGTGTTCTTCTTTGGGGGTGTGTTTTCCATTTGCTTTTTCATACTTCCAGAAATCTTTTGCTGAGTCCCTCCCATTTGGATTCACTGTTACTTTTGTTTTGTTCTGTTGCTAGAGGGAGCCGCTAGTATGTTGTCCAGGGTTCTCTTGATGGGAGGGGTTATTTGGGGAGCTTGTTTTGGTCTCTTGCTGGGGGTTTTGATTCCCTATTTGTGGGTTTCTCTGTTGGTAGCTGACCGGAGGCGGAAATGAAATCCTATCGGATGACCTGAACTGGTCTGGTGAGGAAAGCCACCGGTCTGTCAGCTATTGGTCAGTGCCAAAGCCCCAGGGACTGGCGCTTGTCGCAGAGGGGGAGTGGCTCTTTATGTCTCGCTTCCGCAAGCTCAGAGGCCGTGCAAAAGACACTGGCCAAGGGGAGTGGGATCCTCTCCAAACTGCCCAAGGCCCCAGTGCCTTCAGCTTCCGTAGGCGTCTGCCCCTCACAACTGAGGAGGCACTCAGAATTCACTGCTTAAAGAAAGGGGCCTGGCTAATTGACTTTAGGTCCTGGAAGGGCAGAGTTCGTTGCAAGGGCTCCCAAGCTGGGGGAAGGGATCAGTTCCGCACCGTACCGCGACCTGCTGTGGGCCCTGAGCTGGCGTTAGCCCGCCCCCAGGGTGCTGGCTCCAGAGGGAGGCGCTCAGGGGCTGGGAGGTACCCGATCAGGGAGTCAGTCGAGTCACCAGGGTGCTCCGCCATCTCCTTTATGTCTCCCTCCCCGAATCTCAGGCAAGTCAGGCAATAGCTCTTGCTTCAGTAGAGCAGTCCCAATCGCCAGCAGCAGTTTCCAGGTTAGAATCCTCTACTTAGTAATCACCTCCCCGTTCAGGACCTGCTGGGTGCCAGAGACCAGATTCCTGACTCCTAACTGCCTCCGGAGGTAGCCCAGACCAGCTCCTACTCTGTCCAGTGCAGTCCTGACACGGGGCGGGGAGTTCAAGATGCTTCCTGCTCGTGTCCACTCTCCACTGAGCCGCACATCTCCTGACACAATTCTACATCCACTTCACACCAGCCCCTGACTCTCGGTGGGCTTGTAAGTCAGTGGGGAAGCTAGACTGTCTCATGAGGGACTTATCCAGGTGCACTTACTGGCCAGGCTGGCGCCTCCATCTCACGTTCCACTCTCTATTGTCTGTCCGCGCTTTCCAGGTTTTGCATTCCAATCTCCCGTTCACCTTATTCTTTTTTCTGATTTGTGTGTCTCCCGCTGAATCTCCACCGATTCACCTCGCTGTTTTTGCGGGAGAGCGATCCGATCGTGTGTGGCAGACCGAGATCTACGTCTCTTTCTCTGGAAGCAGGGATCCAGGAGGCTACCTTAACTCTGCCATTTCCCGCCCCCCCAAATTTACATCTTAAAGCATATAGAGAATTTAAGCTTTTTAAAGAAGGAATTTGGGTATGTTAGAGGAAGATGAAAAATGGATGCCAGGTTAACACAAAATCATAAGAATTTTCAACAGGATGTTAGAAGGAGGCTGATTTTATTTAGATAGGTAGTTTCCTATTTGGTCTCTATTTTCCAACTGGACCATTGAACTCAGGGTAGAGCTCATCAAGGAATAGGGCCAATTTGCAGTTTCCAGGGCACAATACTTATATCTGTGAAAAGCAGGTATAGCTGGAACATCTAGATCCCCATAAATCAAGGATCCCATTTTTACACTAAATTCTGAGTCCCAAAAAAGAGGGAAATGTCATGGGACTGAGCTGTGCAACACTTCCATGGTGTACCTCATTGCAAGAGCAACCCAATTCTAATCAGCCCACTCTTTGATCAGCCCATAACCCACAGGAGTCTTATGCCTCAGTGGCGAGTGTTCCCGTTGCCTCCAAGTGTCTAAACATGCAATGAAAAGAGTAGCTCCCTGCATTAATAACCATTTGTTGTAACCAGTGGTCAGCCACCTCCGAAAACACAGCCCTGAGCAAATGACTCAAAACCAACACAAGTAAATACACATGAGACCAAAACCCAACAAACTCTTTCTGGCTTTAACCAAAGTTTTTTAACTCCCCCAAAGAGGGAGTAAAAAAAAATTGCACCCCTTCCAAGATCCAGACCCCTCCCAAGCACAGCTTAAAGAAAGGAAAGTTTTGATAGCTGCAAATGGAGTATAACCCACATTTCTGTTTGGCCATATTTTCTATGCTCTCAGTTTCTCAGCTGTTTATACAGAAAGGCTAATTTTTCCATGTGCCCCATAAACAGAAGGTTAAGACAATAAGACAAGTAATCAAAAGCTATCTATGGAAGAAAAAAGGATTAATAACAAATGGGTACCTTAAAAAGTCAAGTCACACAAATATATATGTAAATCAAATAATATAAACTAATACTTATGAATGTTTCTTCTTTCTCCTGAGTTTGAAGGATTCGCATTTTTACAGATCTTGTTCCTTGATGAGGAACAGGGGCTACAGACCCATGTTCTATCCCATTGTACCCCTCTTTATGACAAAGTGACACAGAAAGGCAAAGACAAAGGAAAAGACTTTCTAGTAGGAACATTATCAGACAAAATGCATATTCATACCAAAAATGCACCAGCATTGATGCACCTAAGACTAGTTTTACAAATGCTTTCATCTCATTAATCTTAAATTTGGAAAGGAAAAAGAGATAAACAGTGATTTTTACTGTACATTCTGACTGGTAAGAAATTCTAACCCTTCTGGCAGATTGTCAGGTCCTAGGTTCCCTTGACTGTGGCTTCCAGAAGAGCAGAGTTGTTTTGGTCACAGTGCCAAAACCTGCTCACAGTGCCAAAACTGTTGGGGCCAAGAGAAAACTTCGTCTTCACCCTCTGAAGGTTCACTGAAAATCAACTGATACAGGGCAGATCAATAGGGGGAAAGT